AAACAGCAATGTGTAATTCTGGCTGGTAGAGAGGAGTGAAAGGCTTGAAATAACAAACCAAATCCATTTTGACAACTGCACACAGACCACCCTCCTATTTCCCCCTTCACACATTCATCCCCCAAATACATCAACAGTAAGAGATTTTCATGTGGATTTATTTTTTTTTACATTATGTTAGAGTTCAAGAAAAAAAATAAGAGAACCCAACAAAATTAATAAATATTAAAAGTTAAAAAGCTCTGAATCTCCTATGTACAAAACTTTATACATCATAGGACACTGGGCAAGGTTGCAGCACAGGGAGGACTTGGTGTGGCCACCCAACCCAGGGGGATGCAGGGACCAGAGTCATTCTCTCTTCCTGGAGGCAGGGCCAGAGCCACCCAAGCTCAGCCTGTCCTCAGCTGGAATCCATTCCCCATTCCTGGAAGTATCCAAGACCACTTGGATGAGGCTTGGAGCAACCTGCGCTAGTGGAAGGTGTCCCTGCTCATGGCAGGGGGTGGAACTAGCAGAGCTTTTCAGTCCCCTCCAACCCAAGCCATTCCAGGAGTCCATAGAACACCCAGTGCTGAGTGCCAGCCCTGCAGCATCACCAGCCCAGAGCACCCAGAGCTGGCAGCAGGGAGGGTGTATCCCCCCCTGCTTTAAATCTCACCCCCCTCTCAGCCAGAGGTTGGGGTTAGCACCTGCAGCACAGCTTCCCTTGCCCAAAGCCCCCCAGGGCCCCTGTGAGTCAGCCCTGAGCCACAGCTCTGCCCCAAGGTACAGCAAGGAACCACTGCAAATATTCCTACTGCAATAGAGCACCAATCCCAGGCCACTCCTGGAGGAAGGGAAGCAGCTGGGAATTCAGGAGCAAGGACATCACAGCCCATTTTGGAGGAGGGTTGAGAAGGTGTTTTGCTTCTGCTCCTTGAAAAGTAAACAAAGCTTTATCTTTGGCACAATAAATAAACACTGGCACTGCCAGGGAGGGCAGGCGACAGCCCGGCAAGGGGCACAGTGTTGGTGGGAGCCCAAAGGATGAATCCCACCCTGGTACACTCACAGCATCTCCTGGGTCCTGTGGGTAACAATACACACCTCACACCTGGGTGCCCCATAGTGCCCACTGCCACGAGCTGTGCCAGCTGCATGGTTCAGACAGGTGGGGATGGGCTTTGTTCTACCTTCTGTGACGCCCACCTGATTCTAAGGGCAGCACCCAGCAGGCAGGAGACCTCCAGTCCCAGGTGCTCAAAGAGTAGTTAAATAAATGCTCATCCAGCCTTGACTCAGAGGCAATCCAGGGGTAGGAGGTGCATAAGACACTCTCTTAACAGCTCTTCAGCCCTGTTTGTGCTGTTGGGAAGCTCTGGGGGAGCATTGCAGAGTCCAATGCTTAAAACATCAGGAATGCAGAGGGGTCTCCATCCATGTCAGTCACAGTAGGTACCTCGACCTCTCCCACAATCCAGGCCAGGCAAGTCAACCTGGGCCACCTCAGCAGCAACCCCAGATACCTGGAAAGCTGTCACACAGTCACACACTGTCCCTAGGGATGCTCCTTCCTGCTTCTTGAACTCCAGGGGAGCAGCACCATCAGGGGCAGTGGATGCACCCACACCATGCACATGCTCCCAAGACATCCCACATTGCAATGCCAAACTGGTCTATCTGCGAAGGCTCACCTTCCTCAGGTTCCACCTCTCTGTCCTCAAAATCACCTCCCTGCTGGCAGCCTCATCCCCATGGATGCTCACCCTGCCCGGCCACTGCACTTTGAGGTGCCAGATGTCCTCAGCTGGGAGGCTGCACACCCCTAAGCACCAAACCTTTGCAGCTCCTTGGGGACATCATTCTGGGGAGGTTTGGAGGGCTGTGACTCCTCCAGGCAGATTCTGTGCCTGGAGCTGACACCCAGCAAGGTGTACTCAGCCCAAGGCTCCTAAAGTGCTGTGCATGTGTTTACTGCTTGGCACAATATCTTTTAACAGCATTAATCACACCCTTCCACCTCCTACCATGCAACAAAAGAGATGCAGATGATGCTTTCCCTCTCCTCTCCCTGTAACTGCCCCTAAAATCCACCCCAGCTTCCCAGTCACCCCCATTTTCTTCTAGAAGGTGTTGATGCCCCACAGGCACTGGGTACAAGGGTGCAGGGGTAAGGCTGGTGGCCCTGGGCAGGCTGAGCATCAGGATCAGCTCAAGGCTGGCCAAGGGCAGTGTTGGCTAAAAAGAGTCACCCCCCAGGTGACAGGCATTTTTTACATCAGCTTTTGGTCTTTGACCTGGTTCTTATCACTCATGTCAGGATTTCCTGGACCATCTCCTGCCCCCAGGGCAGAAGCTACTCTGTGCTTTTCACACTCCATCTTCCCCCAGTTTCCCAAACTCTCCATCCCAGGGACAGCAGGGACAGCCCAGGGCTGCAGTTTGGGATCCCCACCTCTCCCCAACTCAACATCACCGGTTCCTTGCCCCTAGATTCCCAACATCCTCCCACTGCCACCCCCAAAGCTCCAGGGCTAAGCTGAGTCAGGACAATCCCCTCCAGCACATCCTGTGTTACTGCTTGGAGCAGAAGGAAGGAAAAAGCAACATTAAAGCCACTCCCCCCCAAATCCTTTTAGCACCTCGGGAGAGAGTAGCAGCCTGGTTACCTGCAGCTTTTTCTACTCCTTTTCAGCTGTTTTCCACAGCACTGCCAAAAACTGCCACTCCACAGCTGGGAGGGCAAGGGGATTGTGAAAATGAAGTGGTTTTCCTGGGAATTTCTGCGTGTTGAGTTAGGTCACTGCCAAACCTGGCAGTGAAAACCATCGCTGGAAGTCGCGGGGGGGAGGGGGGGGGAGAGGAAAAAGAGAGGGAAGGAGGGAGGTGAAAAGCTTCCCCTGCCCCCTGGTGAGGTGGTCCCAAGCAGGTTACCTGCCTGCCTGGCCCCTGCCTGGCTCACTCGGGGCTGGCAGCCCCCCAGGAGAAGCACTAGTGGATGGCCCAGGGGCCGGAGTGGGGCGGCCAGTGCCCCCCTGAGCTGGGGTGATGGGGTAGGGTGAAAGCCCTGGGGCAGGGCTGGGAGCACTGGTCCCCGCAGCAGCGCTGGGGCCAAGGGCAGAGGGGGAGCTGGGGGTGGAGGAGGCTTTCTTGCCACAGGATTCACAGCAGAGCTTGTTGTAGCCAGGGATGGAGCAGTAGCGAGCCAGGACCTCCATCTGGCAGAAGATGGACTTGTCCCCGAGGCAAGGCTCCCCTGGAGAGGGACAGAGCAGTGTCAGCACAGAACGAGGTGGCATTAGGCTCCCACCCTTGCACCTTTCTGATGGTCCCTAAGGGAACAAGGTGCCCTTCCAGGGAGCTGCCTATGCCCATAGGAAGGGGGAAAAGAGGGAAAATGAAGCCAAAGCACTTCTGTGCACGGAGGGAAAACTGAGACCAAGGGATGCTCCAAACCAGCATCACAAATGGGATCGGAATGTGCCTCACCCCAGCTCTAAGGACTCCAAGCAAGGGGCTCTCCTCATTCCCTGCTCTAAGCAGGGGACAAGGGATGTTGGAATGAGATGTGCTTTAAGGTCTTTCCAACCCAAACCATTCCAGGATTCTGTGAAAACATCACTGGCTCTTGTACCCTTATCTAGACCAAGGCCCGGTTGGACAGGGCAAGCTCAGAGCAAGGGGCAGAAGCCAGAAGGCATCTTCCCACTTAAAACCATTCCTAGGTAAAAAGGAGAGCAGAAATCCTGGAGGCAAAGGGAGTACAACATGGAAGCTGCAAGACTCCGATTTCCACGAGATGGCAATCAAGCAGCAGGTTTGGGAGCAGAGGCATCAGGGATGCAGCAGCAAGGGTGAAATTGCCCAAAACCACTGCTGGGTGTGTGTCCCTCCTCAGGCACCACAGGGAGATGCAGAAGTCCTCAGGAGGGTTATCCCAGGAAGTGTTGCCCTTTCCCAAGCAGGGACACTTACTGGAGGAGATCTTGCTGACAGGGTTTTTGGCTCCATCCTGGGGCACTCTCTGCCCCTTGGTCGTGCTGTGTTCATTGGCGTCGGCACTGGTAGTGATGCCTGAGAGTTTCTCTGTGGACAAAGCACCACAATGCCCTCAGCATACCTCAGGAGGGTGTTTTGGTGGGGGATTTGTTTTGCTTTAAGGCATCTCCTTACAAACAAGGTCCCTTAGGGAGCATCCAGTTGGCCCAACACTTCAGCTACCCAAAAAAACCCCCAAGATGAACCCTGGGATGCCAACTCCATCGTACCCTCAAACTGCCAGAAACCCCCAAACCAGCCAATATCAGGGTTAAGAGCAGAAAAGAGAAACGTTTTGGCTGGTGGTTAACCCTTTCCCTGCCAGCAGCATGGGGGATGTTC